TGGCAACTCAAAATTGCAATGTTCGGCAATGTGTTGCGAAACACATGACATGTTACGAAAAAGGCTCATTTTCTAAAACGACAAGAAATCATGTTCCCAAACGTGAATCCTCTAGAACTAACATAAATGATGTTCCCAAAATTTGTTCCTTTCAGACCTCTGGGAAGTAGTGCACCAGATGGCCGACGATCCGTCGCAGCTGCCAGCGGGCGAGCCATGGCGTCCGAAGCACGTGGTGCAGAGCCAGGTAGAGCCTCCAGGCGCGCTTGGCGGTATGTCTGAGTCGGCCCTCGCGCCCGTCGAGCACCAACCCCAAGATGACAAGGCCGGGCTGCGCGCGTTCGAGCTCGTGCCAGCGAAGCCCACGACGGTCCAGTTCAGCAGTGAGCTTGTCCAGCCGGTCGTTGAGCGCCGGCGCGCTGAGCGACACAAGATTCCCGTTGTCGACGTACGGCGCCCTGACGACAGCCTGTCCGACGAGAGTCGGCGCACGGGCTTTGTCAAGGCACCAGCCGTCGCCTGGGAGGCCCGCCTCGACCATCGCGTCGACGAGAACCTCGTGGCAGATCCAGAGCGCCCAGCTCCAGCCCATGGGCAGCGCCGCGAAGCAGGGCCAGATGACGTCGTCGCCCGATACGGCCACGCGGCGCCCGAGCTTCTCGTCGTAGATCGAGTCGAGCCCGAGCTCGTCAGCGGTGACCTCCACGTCGAAGCACATCCAGCTGCCCCACGAGGGGTCGGCGAACTGGTAGAACCCGTCCATGAGGTCCACGGAGCCTGCGCAGAGTGACTCGTAGCAGCCGTCGAAATCCGCCAAGTCCTCGGGGCTCGCGCCGACGGCGTCGAGCAAGTTGATCGAGCCCAGCGCCTCACCGGATGCAAGCACAGTCCGAGGGGGAAGCTTGTGCAGCTGGTTGGGCTGGCGAGCGTCCACGACCATGCGGATGTCGCCGTTCTTCTTGGCGACGAAGAAGGTACTGACGCACGCCTTCCGACGCGCCCGGCCATCCACCAGGCCCCGTGCAGCGAGTCGTCGAAGGAAGTCGACCAGACGTGGCCGGTTCTGAGGGTCGCGCGGATTGAGGAGAGGGTCCCAGTACGGCTCCACGATGACCTCGTCCTCGGGGATGTTCGGCGCGGGGCGAACGACGTCCGAGTCGAAGTGGTCCAGCGCCTCGGTGACGTGCCGAGGGGCAACGTCTCGAAGCTGACGAGGCCGGTCATGTGGCGCACGTCGTAACACATTGAGCTTGTCAGCATCATAGTCGCGGCGAGTAGAAGCCTCGCCCATGTTCGAGTACAGATCCTTGCACTTGAGGAGCTCCTGCAGGGCTCCAGCACAGTCCATGTCTTTCGGTCGGTCGCCGAACCCGCGGATACGACGTCGGACTCGCTTGATGACCGACTCCTGGGCGGTAGTCGGCCGATGCTTGCCGGGCGCTCGAGGCTCGAGACGCCCCCCAGCCCGTGCGCCTGCCAGCGCGTTGAGCGCGCCCAGAGTCTCGAGAGACCTGCGGTCACGGTCGTCAGCACGAGCAGCACGCTGGGCCAGATACCGAGGCAGAGCGGCACGTTCTCCACGATGAGGGTGGCGATAGAACTCGTCACCCTGCGGCAGAGGAAACAAAACTGTGGACGAAGTCCGACTCTCGGAGGAGACCCCCTCGGAGAGCAGCCCGGCCCGACTCGCATTCGCGGCTGCGGAGTCAGGGCCAGGCCCAGTGAGGCCGGGCGGAGCGCCCAGCCATGATGGCGCCGACATGGCGCCGTCAACCCTGATCCTTCGCGGCGGCCTTGGGCTTCGGCTTCGCCTTGCCCTTCGGATCCGCCCTGGAGCCCCTCTCCCTGTCGTCGCCCTGCCTCTCGTACTTCTTCGCCTCCGACTCCTGCTCCTCCCGGTACATCCGCTCATGCTTCAGAATGATGCCCTGCGACTTCTGCTCCTCGGCCACGAACGCGTCGAACCTCGACGTCACGACGCCTCCGCTCTCGCCCAGAGAGCTGCTCAACATCAAGCCGAGGCCCTCGAAACTCGGGTGGCGCGGGCACCTCTTCACAGCCCGCTGGATCTGCAGCACTCGGCGCCCCAGGAGCTCCAGAGACGCCAAGTTCGACGGGTCCACGAGGTCGTACGTCACGGCGTGGTGCAGCTGGTTCAGCGCGTGCCGCACCTCCTGGGCCACCGCGGCGTTCCGAGACACCCCCGACTCTGAGACCCAGTACCCCCAGTAGGACGTGAGGGTCAGTCCGGTGGCAAGGATGGCGGCCAGCAGCTCGGGCAGGGCCTTCGGCCCCCGAAAGGGCCAGTCGTCGAAGTCGACCGCGTTCATCTTCGCGATCGCCTCCCCGAGCGTCACCTGGACCCCGCGACCCCGGCGCGCCAGCGGGAGGATCCGCGGGTCGCGTCCCGGGCCGCGGCGCTTCTCGGCGCGCCAGTCCTCCTCGTCGGCCTGCTGCACGTTCTCGACCGAGACCCAGCCCTCCTCCTCGCTGAGCATCGCGATGCCCACCGCGTCGCGGCTGATCAGCCGCTCCGGGTTCCCGATGAGGTGGAGGTCCAGCTCGCGCCCGAACTCGGGCGAGCCTGGGTCCGAGACGATCCAGCGCGGCACGACGCCCCCAGCAGTCCCAGCTGGGGCCGAGACGCCCATGACCAGGGCGAGGCCGCGCGCCTCCACCCGCAGCGCCTCGATGTCCTCGTCCGACTGGTCGCCGAACGCGTAGACCTGCCCACGAACCCGCACCGGGAACGCGGACCCCCGACGCAGGGGGACGACCAGGTGCTTGCTGAGGTCCAGCGTCAGCACCTCGCCGTCGGGAGTCGCCGCCACCCAGACGCCAGGGCTGAGCTGCTCGAGGAGCACCCTGTGGTGCCATCGGAAGTTGTCGTCGTCGTCGTAGTTCACGCACACCTGCGCCTCGGGCACGTCGAGCGTCCGCATCGCCGCCGCTGCCATCTGGCGAACGGCCGACGATCAGGCTACGCCCGCACCGCCCGAAAGCGGCGCTGCGCGCCGCCGTCCTGGCCCGCTCCGTCGTCCTCGACGAGCAGGGTCACTGGCGCCGCACCCTCGCGCCGCGGCGGGTCGGTCCCGCCGACGAAGAGCGAAGCGACTCGGGCGGCCCAGCCCAGCGTCACGCGGAGGCTGCCACCAGCCGCGAGCCCAGCGCCCAGGGCGGCAAGGACCGCCCACCAGCCTGGCCCGGACCCGCAGGTCAGACTGCAGTCCGGGCAGCTCGGGCAGCCCGGGCAGGGGGCGGCGGCCGCCGCCGGAGGGCACGCGGGGCAGGCCCCGCACGTCACCCGGGCCTCTGGGCAGGCGGGACAGCGCGAGAGCCACGCAGTCGCGATGGAGGCCGCCCACGGGCCGGCTGCGGCCCACGGCACCACCATGCACTGCCGGGGGCCCCACGAATGATAGAGCTTGAGCAGGAGCGGTTTCGGAGCAGAGGGAGAGAGCAGCAGCAGGAGCAGCGAACGAGACGGACGCGGCTCCACTGCTCAGAAACTCCCGAGGCCACTCGCACTTAGGAAAACGAGTCAGAGACAAATCATAAGTTGGTGTGACGCCGAGCTTAGACTATGGACGCGGTGCGCGTCCGCCACCGCTGCGACTGAAGCCGACTGTCCGCGGGCCTGGGTAGGGAAACGAAGAATGACATAAGCACAAAAACTTGGAGGTCCGCGCGGATTCTTCGGATCCGCGCTGGAACCCCGTCCCTGGCGCGCACTCCGAAAGGGGCGCCCAGTCAGGATGCCGAACCGCCTGGCTTCAAGGGGCCCAAGGACACATAAATAAATACACACAAATAAAATGATTCCCCATAGTTTCCCATATTTTCTGGGTTTTTGTCTTCCCGCCCAATTCCCATATTTTCCTATATTTTCTTGGGGATCGACGATTAATTGTGTCTGTGTGTTTTTTCCCCTCCTGATGGCTTCCGCCCCGGACGCCCGCGCCGGTGCTGCCGGCGTGGCGCCGCGACGGCGCGGGTCCTGCGCCGCACGCCGGCCCGTCCATCTGGGCGCAGCCACACACCCCGCGCTTTTCTCTGAAGGGGCCCCAGGACACGCAAATAAATACACTCAAACAAAAATGTTCCCCATATTTTCCCATATTTGTTGAGTTTTTGTCTTCCCCCCCACTTCCCATATTTTCCCATGTTTTCCTGGGAGTGGACGATTCATTGTGTCTGTGCGTTGTTTCCCCTCCTGATATTCTCGGCGGTTCAAAGACGGGGCCCTGGGGCCCTGCGGACGACCGATGATCCCCAGAGCGTGCGCTGGCGCCAACGTTCGCCTGCCCACCGAGGCACGTCAACATGACGCAGGCGGTGCGGGAGGGGTCGAGACGGGCCGCGTGCGGTCGGCAGAGCTGCAGGGGGGGCAAGCGCACACTGGGCCAACACATGTCCTGAGGATCATCTGACTACCTACCAGACCACCCCAACCCAACCCGAAGACCCGAATTTGACCCGAATTTCGGGTTGGGGGGGGGTACGGATACCATGTGTTTTTTCAACGCTCCCCGACCCCCCCCCACTGGAAATGGAAGGCAAATTGAGGGCTTCGGGTTGGGTTGGGGTGGTTTGGTCGGTGGTGATCATCGAGACGAGTGGCACCGAACAGTGAAAAAGCCTGGGGCCCCTTTCCCATCCTCAGGGCCCCATCCCAACGAGGAGGACGAGACCCCAACTCAAGCTGCCAAGGCCGGCATGCACGGAAAGAGGGGGAGCGATCCCATGAGAGGGGCTCTCGGGGCAGGGGCTCGAAGGTGCCACACCCGACCTGCTGCTGCTGCTGCTGCTGACGCTGTTGCAGTTAGAGGAGGAGGAAGGAGAGGCCTCTACAGGACCTCTTGGGGCCGCGTGGGGCCTTCTGGAAGTATCGTCGGGGCCTCTGAGGGGCCTCTTAGGGCTTGGGGACCTGCCGACATCCACGCCCGCGCGCCCCCAGGAACTCGCAGGCCCAAGCCGCGCGCGCGCGCGCCCCCTCGCGC